ATCTTTGAAAACTTCTTGTAATTGATCATTGAGGATGAAATTGAGGAAGCTGGTGAGATCATAATTTTGCAGTGTGGTTTTCTTATTTGCTATACAACTTGCAAATAATACTTCTAGATATAGAGAGGTGTTGTGTGCACAAACACACAACACCTGTAACTTGAGTTACAAACACCCCTGTAACTTGAGTTACAATAAAATTATAGTACAGAGGGTGGCGCACAAACACACAACACCTGTAACTTGAGTTACAAACACCCCTGTAACTTGAGTTACAATAAAATTATAGTACAGAGGGCGGTGCCTGTGGCTCAAAGGAGTAGGGCGCCGGCCCCATATGCCGGAGGTGGCAGGTTCAAACCCAGCCCCAGCCAAAAACTGCAAAAAAACCTCACAACCCCCTCCCCCCAAACCAAAACTATAGTACAGCTAATTGTGGCAAATTATAAATGTAGCCCGATACCAAAATGGCAATAGAGCAAGTATCTATTGTGTTGATGTTCTTTTCTATGTTCAAAAGAATAATATACATAATTTTTACATATATATAGTATATATAATTTTTATATAATTTTAAGTATATATATACAACTTTCATATATGGACTTATTCTTTGTATTTAAAATCATGGACCTTCTTGTACCTATGAACTCTGTCTCAAAAACAAAAAATAAAAAAGAAAGGATATGATACACAAATACTGACAGATTTTCTCGTTAACCAAAGTCTAATCAGCATCACCTGAACTATATTTTTCTTCTTTTTAATTGGTGTAGAATAGTTGTATATTTGGGGGATACATATTATTTTGATACGTGTAAATGATCAATGTAAAATGATCAAACAAGAATCACTGGGAAATCTGTCACCTCAAACATTTTTTCTTCGTGCTGGGAATACTCCAATTCTTTTCTTCTATCTATTTTTAAATATATAGTAGAAATATATTGTTAACTATATATACCAGACTATTGAAAATCAGGACTTATTCCTGCTATCTAATTGTCTTTTTGTACCCACTAACCAACTTCTCTTCATTCCCCCTCCAAATGCTTAACTTTTCAAACTAGACCTGACTGGATTTCTGTATCTCTTTTGCATTGTCCAATTTCAGCAAGAATCCTGGTAAGTCAGTTTAACCAGAATCCCGAATCATCAATATCTGATCATCCTTCACATCTAATTGGATTCCTCATTCCCCATGTGATATCTAATCACCCTGGTCTGTCTTCAACAAGAATCCTGTTAGGTTGGTTTAGCCAGAATTCTCCTTACTGGTGAAGTTCCTCTTGGTAATTTTCCACCCACATATCCTTATTTTCCTCCTTGGCTATAAACCCCACCTACCCACTCTGTATCAGGATTACGCCCAATCTCTCTCCTCTCACTGCAAGCCCCCATTGCAGTGGTCCCTATATCCATCATGATGGTCTTGGATAAAGTCTGCTTATCATCTTTAACAAGTGCCCTTGAGTAATTTTTTTCTTCAACAACACAGATGTACAGGACAAACATACGCATACCAGCCAAAATTGACCAACTAATTAACATTCCCACAATCAATCCTCTTACATACTCATTTAATACATGACTCTTATCCATGCACAGAAAAGTTTGCAAACTATTATTTATTTAAACATGTATGTAATTTATCATGTTGAAAATCTTTATGTTGGCAAATCTTTCCTTTCTGCTAAGAACTAGCACAGAAAGTTTCTCCTTTCCAAAAGTAAGAAATAATATTTCTGAATCCAGGTAAGAAAGAATGCTATAGGGTAAAACATTGATTTCTTTTTAAAAAACTAGAATAGTTTCAGTCATGTCACGTACCCATCCATTCATCATGTTAAAAAGATACTCTAGTGTATTCTCTACCTTCTCTAATTCAGGGATTGAATGTCTTTTTGAAAAAATAAATTATATGCAAATATCACATTTCACTGCCAAACTGATCAGGCTTGTCATACAGATGATAAGAACCTGCTAAGAACAGTTAATGAAAATGATGTAAAGTTAGCAACTTTGCTTGTCATGTTTTAATTCTTTCTCCCCCTCAAATTATTCAGATTTTTAATGATTCATTAGTAATTTGATGCCATAATATTTGCATCTATCAGAGGACAAGTTTTCTAATTTCTCTGGCATAATTGGTCATATGAGGAACCCTGAGGCTTTGCCTTGTGACCTTGTCAAACACAAGGAGGAAGGGCATCTACTACTCCACAATTCAGCGATTCATGCTGACAAGTGGCAATTACTTAAATGTGTTTGTATTATTACAAACCATTTTCTACAGGAAAGTCAGGAAGAGATCTTGCATTCTTACATTATCTTTGTTACTTTTTTTTCAGTGCTTACAGAACACTCCTTTTTTTTTTTTTTGAGACAGATTCTCACTCTGTCACCCCAAGAGGATAGCAGTGGCATCATCATAGCTCAGTGCAACCTCAAACTCCCGGGCTTGAGTGATGCTCCTGCCTCAGCCTCCTGAGTAGTAAGGACTACAGGTGTATATCATCATGCTCGGCTAAGTTTTTCTATCTTCTTTTAGTAGCTCAGGCTGGTTTTGAACTCCTGAGCTCAAGTGGTCTTCCTACCTCAGCCTTCAAGAGTGCTAGGGTTACAGGCTGAGCTACCACATCTGGCCAGAACACTCCCATTTTCCTTCTTGTTCATGGGTCTTACACCTGACTTTCCTTAAAGAGTATATTTCATTTAGATTTCTTCTCCCTGAAACAAAGACCTATGTATCTTTTCTGTCTTGCTCAGTGGTAGATACCCATTAGGAATTTTGCTAACTAAGAAATCACTAGGTAGTCTTTTGGAATGTGTGATTGAACAGCTTTCTGTTCAAATGTATGTATCACAGCTTAAGGGATCTATACAATGATAAAAAGTGGAGAAGGCAAGAGTCGGGGGGAGGGAATAGTCAGAGAGTGATGACTTAGAGATTCAAAAATTCAGAGGTCCATTCTTATCTCAGGATGTTGGGACATCCATTAAAGAAACAGAGTCACAGGCCAGGTACAGTGGCTTATGCCTGTAATCCTAGCACTCTGGGAGGCCAAGGCAGGTGGATTGCTTGAGCTCATGATTTCAAGACTAGCCTGAGCAAAAGCAATACCATGCCTTTACTAAGAATAGAAAAACTAAGGCAAGAGGATTGCTTGAGTTCAACGGTTGGAGATTGTTGTGAGCTATGATGCCATGGCACTCTACCCAGGTTGACAACTTGAGACTCTGTCTAAAAAAAAAAAAGAAAAAGAAAAAAAAGAAACAGAGTCACAGAACATGAACAGTGATGTCTATCGTGAGAACTGTTTAAGATTCTGAGACTTTTTGCATTAAGATTCTCAGATCTACAGATCTGTAGATTAACATTCAGGTACAAGAAGCAGGTCATCTCCTATTTCAAGGGTAGTTTGGAGGTGAGAAAAAGAGATAGAAAACCCAAGAAATGGAGGAGGTGATAATTCTGAATAGGAGAATTATCAAGTTGAGTTTTTAAAGATTCAGAAGAAAAAGGAAATGAAAGCTTTGAGATAGACCTGGGAATGAATGGGTACATAACTAGAAAAATCAAAACAAAGTATTACAGGCTGACTTGTATCCCTCCCAAACTCATATGCTGAAGTCCTAAATCCCTTAGGGCAGGCGTTCTCAAACTATGGCCTGCGGGCCACATGCAGCCCACCTAGGACATTTATCTAGCCACTGGGTGTTTTTGCTACTGCTGTCTGTCCTGCTTAGCAGCCAACTTGTCCCGGGGCCCGCAGTCCGGCCCTCCAACAGTCTGAGGGACAGTGAACTGGCCCCCTGTTTAAAAAGTTTGAGGACCCCTGCCTTAGGGTGATGATATTTGGAGATGGGGATCTTTGAGAGGTAATTAGGGTTAGATGGGGTCATGAAGGTGAGGCACTCATAAATGGGATTAGTGCCCTTATAAGAAGGGACTCCAGAGAGTTATGCCTTCTGTGCAAACCAAATCAAGAGGCCATGTGCATGATCACAAAGATGATGGCCACCTATAAGCCAAGAGAAGAGGCCTTGGAGTAAAACCCACCTTGTCAAAACCTTAACTGTGGAAGTCCAGCATGTAGAACTATGAGAAATAAATTTCTATCATTTAAGCTACCCAAGTATACTAAGACAAAAAAAAAAAAAAAAAAAAAAAAAGAATCTGTATAGCTTTTCCACAATCTCATCTCAAACTCAACAGGGTGAAAACAAAACTCTTTGTGTCTCTCCTTACTTATTTAAAAAATATCCATCTATGATACCACCTAAACTCTCCACAAATACTAACCAAGTGACGTACTATTCTTACCCCTGTTTTACAGACAAGAGGTACAAGGTCCTATAGCCAGCAAGTATGAGAGCCAGGGTGTGAACTGACATTCTAAGCCCAGGATCTATGCCCTTACTCCCTTAGCAGTGCTGACTTTCTCCACATTTCTTTGCTGTCCACTGAACTATAAACTGTAAAGTTATCTCTGCTGCTATAATGATGATTCACTTCCATTCTTTGTCTTCCTGACATGTCCAAGAGTCATTTACTCAAGATTTTTCCTCCATGAAATAACCTATTCTTATCTGCCAACAACCATATATGACTTATTTTCTGCTGTGTGTTCACTTTTACTGGAGCAGTGAAAATAGGATGAATAAGAAGAAATGGATTGTCAATGCCAGAATGAAAGCATTCAATTATAGAAAAGGTGGACTTTTAAATTTAGATTATTTATAGGTCAAATAAAAGTGGTGATTCTTTAATTAAAAAAGCAAGCTAACAAACAAAAAGACTCCTGAGATATGAGAAAACATGTAAAAGTCATTCTACATCATATTAAAGAATTTTATTAAAGACAAGAGCAATTCCAAGGCTTGATTTTTTTTCCCCTTTGGTTTAGATAGCCTGTGGTAACTAAATTCTACTCATTAAGATATAAAGTGGAAGTCATCAAATGCCCAACGAGAAACGTAGAACAAAATCATCTTACCTGCTGATGTGTGTTTGAACTTTTCACTTTTCTTCTTCCTCCATTTCCAAGGCTTGAAAATCCTCCCCAGGTTGGCAAGCTTACTTCTCCTCCGGATGGGGGGTGTGTGGGTACCTGGGACCAGGGAGTCGGAACGCATCGCAGCCAGCCTCTCCACTTCCTCAGCTTGTTTTCCCCAAGAAAGAGATGAAAATAAAGAGAGGAAAAAAAGTGTTAAAATGGAAACCTCACAGATGGCCAACGTTTTCCATGGTTACAGATAACAGAAACCACATGACCAGAGTTCCGTTTCTCTTTTTGCCTTTTGGAAGGGGAGTCATACCAATGTGTTCCAAAGGCTGGGGACAGCGGGCCAAGTGCCAGGGTTTCATAACACCCCAACCTTCACTTAGACTTGAGGAGGAGGCTGGGGAGGGGCTCTCCTGATACATCAGAAACTCCCCCGCGAGGCAGGGAGAGGCCATCAGAAGATTCAAATGGGAGTCAGTGTAACCACTGGTCCAGCAATTTCTAAATAAGACTTGGCAGATGCAATCACTATAGCACTATCTGCTGAGAGAAAAAAAAAAAAGGGAGAAAACAATTACCAACTGTCTACTCAAAGCCAAGGTCTCCACCCCTACTGCTCTCTACTTTCTATTCCCCTGCTTCCCCCAGACCCTCAGAAGCCATGAGATCCCCTGAGCAAGTGGCTCTTCCTTAGGGTTCCTGACTGATGACTAGAATTACTCACACTTCCATTCGATTTACAATTGCCTTATTATATTGGTTCTTTTTCTCCTGACGTCTTGGTTAAAAAAAAAGAAATTCCTAGAAATTGAGAGCTGGGAGTATCTTTAGGGAACTAATCACAATAACTGAACATTTGAGGGTATTAACACTTCTGATCTCATAATGCCTCCTAGACCCTCCCTGGAAGGCCACAATGATCCCAACCTTTCTTTTTTTTTTTTTTTTTTTGCCACATAGAATAAATATTACCAACTCTTTTCCAAGTTACATGAGGATTTATGTATTCCAGTGATGTAAATATATCCCAACTTGAATTTTTAAGACCGAAATGATCAGAGAAAATAAGCTCATTGGCAAAAAAATCCAGGGGGTGGAAGGAACTCAATTTTCCAGAAAAGAAAATTACATCTAAAGAAATGGCAAAGCCCAAACCAGCCCATTTCACCTCACTGTCCCTCAGAGAAATCATCTAGGGTTTTACATCTTAGACAGTCCTCACAAGGGCAAGCTGTGGCCTAACTGTCTACCTGTGGTCATCAGAAAATGTGGAGATCCATTCATTCAACAAATATATATGGAGCCTCGACTGTGTGCCAGGCAGTGTACAGTGTACACTGATGACAGATATGATGGGTTGGGACAGGCTCCTGACAGGAGGGCTGAGAGGAAGAGTGTTCAAAGAGAAATCAAGAGAGCTTAGAGACTGGGTGAGTGACCTGTAGGACAGGGGCCGATCATTCCCAGCTCTTAGCTCCATGTCAGCATGGAGTGGTGCCCTTCCTTCACTCAGACATGAAACACAGGGGTCACCACAGGTTTGGGGTGAGGAGAGCAATGATTTGAACACGTTGCAATGAAAAGCACACTTAAATTTTTGACTACATGGTTCAACCCGCTGGGAGCTCCTCTTTCCAATCATTTAGTCATGTGGCCACTTAATTCTCTGCCGAATGCTGTGATCATTTCTGGAGAGGACACGCTGAAGAACTGGACATGGTCTGGAGCCTGGAATCCTGAGGAAGAGATGGCAGCGGGGGTGTCAGTGTGTAAAAACATGCCACAGCAAGGCAGCGATGGAAAGCTCACCAGAGGCACGGAGGCGAGACTGACTAATGCTGCTTCACAGTGCTGGAGAAGACCCCCAGGGAGGCCGTCTCTGGGTAGGTTTTAGAAGAAGAAGGACTGTTCTCCACATAAGATGAAGAGGGGACAGTGGATCCCTGGGCATTGAGAAGCAGACCCAAAGGGAACAGAGGGGACTTACTGAGCATGGCGTGTCCAGATGCTCTGAGGACCTCAGAGAAGCTGGAGCTTCCTGAGATGAAGTGCCTGGGGTGAGAGAGGGGTGGGCGAGGCTGGAGCCAGATCATGCAAACCTTTGAAAGGTTTTCTCCTCTGAGCAGAGGGATAAGATGAGAATTTGAAAATGGGAAATTGACATTATTACACTCTACCAATATATATTGTCTGCTCACTCTGTACCAGACTCTTAGGCTGTCTTAGCAGACAAAACAGATAAAAATACCAACTTGGGGATCTCTGTTGGGGAGGTGGGGTGGGGGCAGACAATAAACATTGAAAGCAAGTGAACTACAGAGTTTTCTAGAAGCTCATGCTTTGGAGAAAAAAAAAATAAAAGAACAAGTGGAACCCGGTAAAGCAGATCAAGAGTACCTGGGGGAGGGTTGGCCTGATCAGGAAGTTCCATGGTCAGGATACAATTAGGTTTGTTTCTTAGAAATACAACGTGAGCCAAGGGAAATGAACTTTTGCAGAGAAGACAACAAGGAGGCCACTGCAATCTTTGTAACTATCTGAGCAGAGATGTGACAGAGGAATGGAGAGAAAGACGAGACTCAGCTGGGTGGGAGAATCAGCAGATCTGGTAATCTCCTGGGTAAATGTGAGGCCGCACATAGCAGCAAGACGGCTCAAGTTTTTGGTTTTCATGATTAGGTCAGTGTGACAATTGTGTGTATTTTAAAGGACTTTGATAAAGTAAGAAGGGGGATAGGATGGTAGCTCCCTGACAAGGCCCCTGGAACCAGATGATGCAGCCATTTTGCAAAGGCTCTTTAGGGGTTTAGATTTTATTCCCTAGGGTAAATTACTGAGAAGAAATTTCAGGGTGGGGAAGAGAAGACTTGATCCAGACAGTAGCTGAGCTCCAAGAGCCAGTGGAGAATGAGATGGAGGATGTAGGAAAGAGACTGAGAAATTCAGAAACAGGGTTCTTAGGAAGAAGAGGCGGCGGGATCAAAAGTACGCTGGGAACTATTTGTCATCGGAAGACTTCATGCTCAGTGATTGGAAGTTTGAACTGAGGTCTCTCAACACAAATGGCACGGATCAGACGAGGGCCTCAGGGACATAAATCTAGCAGCAGTGGGTAAAATGGATTATCAGAGGCTGAGGGAACACGATAAAAGACTCAGAAGGTTTTAAGTAAGTTTGGATTGCAGAATGGCCAAGGAAAGGGGTTTAAAAACAAGACACAGACAGCTACAATAAAGAATAAGAAAGGAACTGAAATCAGGCAGGTAAACTGGGCAATGCTTCCTGGCAATGCTGAAGTCGGATGTTACCTTTTTTAGATGTTATGGGATGTTTGAGATGGTGCTTCTTCAGCAATGTCGGAAGCTGGGCGGAGCACATGTGGGAGGAGCCACAGCAAAGAGGTTTTCAGTCCAGGCAGGAAGCCAAATCCACACAGTCTAGTGGTCTGATTCCCACACAGTCCCTTTCTCTTTCCCATTTCTCACCTGCGTTTACAGTCTGACTGTCCGGATTTCATGAGTCTCCAAGCCTCTACTCCCCACCTCCTGCCTTCAAATCTCTCCTTTATACTCCCACCAGAGTCCTTCTCCAGAAGCCTGCTCTTTGCAAACACTGTCCCTGGCTTCCCAGAGCCTGTAGTAGAAAGTTCTAATTTCCTGCCTCGGCCCTCAGGAGCCTCGATCTGAGAGAGCTGCTCAGAATTACCTTCTTGTACTTCTCCAAACCCATGCTGCAGCCAAAATGAAATATTCCCTGCAGCAGCAGGCTCAGCCTGGGATTGCTGGATCCCAGGGAGCTTCAGGAGGGCTCCACCGAGCCACTGATATGCAAAAGTTTCATATATAGTAGAACCTCCTGAGTGGACCACCTTCCTATCTTGACCACTTGACCTAATTTCCATAGACCAGACATGTACCACATGTACATATCAGTATAGGAGGCCTAGTTCCTTATGCTGACCACCTCCTTATGTTGACCAGTTCATTACAGTCCCCTTGGGTGGTCAACTTACAGAGGTCTTACTGTATTTGGATACCTGCATTTGGTTGGAAAATTTCCTATCTGTCTTTGATTCTCAAAACAGCCTAAGACAAAAAGATAAACTTTTAAAAATATTCAGTTTGAGGATTTTCAGAGGTCGGTTAACTTAAAACATCTGCTAAAGGTTAAAGAGAGATTATATACAGAAAGAATTCTTACCAAAAAAATCAAGATAGGAAGTATTCAGGGTTGTTGCTGAGTTTGCCTCCTAATTGGCCCTCCATAGTGACTTGTTAAATAGATAAATGAGTGACTGCATTTTGAGTTGGTTCACATGCATCTCAAGAGGTGTGAAAATAAGTATCACTATTTGTCTTAAGAGAAATGTACCACTCAGACCAAAAGGCGGTCTCACAATCACATCTTTAAGAAAAGGATACAAATTATTTTGCAATTGCTGCATTAGAATAATTATAAGAAATTAGGAGTGCCTTTGAAAAACCCAGAGTGGCAAGGAACAGACAGAACATTATAAAGGCATAATTATGACTCAACAGTTAAATGAATCCTTAATAACTATATTATTAAATTCAAGATGTTTAGCTCCTAAGTACAGTAGATTATTGAGCAGGCTGGATTACATTAGGTTTAGTTGATTTATATTTTAATCACCCATATTACATTTTACCCCAATTTACTTGAGGATAGAGCTGCGTCTCAGCCTGACTGCCTCGGCATCAGATAATAAAATTGGAAAGCTTAAGACTGAAGAGCCAACTGGTGAGTACAATCTGAAAAGGAAGGAAAGCAAAAGAAAACAAAATAGGGTACAGAATAAAGTGGTCTCCTACCACAGGGACCAGAGAGGGAACAGAATACAGACACATAGGAGGGAAGGGGTGCAGGCCAGACATGTTTAGGAATCATACGCAGCTTCTCCTGGAAACAGATCATGTAAAGGCTGCTTTGCTAAGACCCACTCAAAGGTGCTGCTAAGCAGGGGCGGGGGTGATTGTCTGAAGACAATGCTCACTGACACGTGTATTGGCTCCAATGTCAACTACCAGGGCTGAGCATTCTGCAGCCAAAGGTAGGAAGCTAGGCGGCTGTGCTCACTCAGCGGGCCGAGCAGGAGAGCTGGCCTCCTGCCCTGAGAGCTCCAGCAGTCTGAGCTC